GACATGTAGAGAAGCCCACTATAAGGGTAGGTTTTTCCTGGAGTTAAAGCTGAACTCCAACCTTCCCTATACTCACAACCATACAGGCTTCTCTCCAATACGGAAATTGCTTACTCTGATTTCTTTGCACTTCTGTGTATGCTTCTCACAGTGTGCATTAGAATCTTCAGGAAGTCAGATAGCCCACCTTATTTCCTGCCTGGAGGACATACTGCATCATCTGGCCATTTCCTCCTGAGCCTTACTGTCAGTGGCCTGTCCTTTAATTCATTGGATTTCACCTCTTCCAATCATGGAGGTTCATCATTGCATGTGAACAATGCAGTGACCAAGGAATGCCCACTCCTACAGACAGACACCAATCCATCAAAACATTTTGATAGCTGCATACCTTCTACCAAGAGCCAGCCAACTGCTTGCATAATGGTTGGAGGCTCTTGAGGGGAGTACTGAGGCAGGGTGCTGTGATGTTTTTATTAAGCTTTGTACAGCACCCTGGTGGCCTCTATCATCAGTTATATTCTGCCTGCAGTGCATTGAGGAGTACAGAAAAATAGTTATGTAATGAAAACAGAAAAGATGTGTTTAAAAATGTAATTAGCATGTTGTTGAGAGGGGTAGGGGAGGAACCAGAGAAGGCAACATACAAGCAGGTTACAATTCCACTTGAATTCACAGGGGCAATGGAATGACCAGACTTTCAAATGATCCACAATGACCTGAAATATTCATGTGCTGCTATTCACATTGGGTGATCTGCTATGACTACCTGGGATGCAGTGCAAATACTGTTTCAGCTTATCTCACCAAACCATAAGTTATCTACACAGTCATGGGACTGCGATCTCCTCAAGTCATAGCAATACACGTGATATACAATAAGTAACCATATTGCTTGCAAATACCCTTTTTTTGTTTTTTTGCTATATAGATAAATAATTTTTGATACCTTTTGTGTGTGTCATCCCTTCCTCTTCTAGTTTCTGTTAAAAGTTAGACTGCATAGGAAGCTGCCTGTAGCAAATAAATGACTTTTCTTCTCTACCCTTTGCATGTTGTTGTGTTTTTGTCTTGGCTTGCTTGAAATCCATGTACTAACTCTCCTGTAACACTATTTTGTTTGTTCCTAACTTCTCCTGTCTAACAGCGGACAAGCCCAGGGAATTCTGAATGAGTCGGATGATCCAGAAAAAGGCTGTGTAACAGATAACAAGCCAACCTCCCGTCACTTCTATCCTGTTGCTCTGCTTCTTGTCAGCTCACACTTGTTGGTTGTGTGGCTTATTCTCAGTCTTGCATTGCTATTAGCCAAATATCCAATAATATGCACTTAATTTTCTGTTCATTTTACAATGTTCTTTAGTTTGTAAAATATATTTATGATTCTTTGTACTCTAACCTCAATAATGTGCCCTTTCAACTATAATCCATTTTTTCATGCATTTTATATGTATGTATCTATGGAGTTATAGCAGTATATTGGGAAAATGTAGTCAAATCTGCTCAAAAGACTGGAGGAAGATAGTATATATGACATTTGGGTGCCTCAGTTTGATTATAGAACTTATTTGCATTTCTTTGCCTGCTTAGTTGAAAGCTTTGTCAACATAATGATCCTTGTCAGATCAACAGCACAAAGTTCTTTATTGAAGAAAACAAGGCTGTGTTCAAAATGTTTACTTAAAACAACCCTGTTGGCAATGTTAGTTTGTGAATAAAGCTGTTACCTGCAAAGATGAATGTAAATATGTCTCTCTCCTGCTGCATAGGTGTTGTTGCTGCATTGCTGAGGAACAGTCCCCAGAAGCCTGCTGAGATACTGAAACTTCTGTGAATGTGAATGTCCTGTGTTCTCCGTAATTCTGACAGATTATTCATGCTGGCCTCAAAGTGGCTACTGCTCCCTGCAGTGGATATAGGAGATGGACATTCCTTGAAAGTGTCAGTTTCCCAGCAGATTTTAGGAAGGTTGATCCTTGGCAACTTGGCAGCAGAGAAGATAAGTGTGACAGACCCAACCAGGACAGGAGCTTTTAGAGGGGAATGCAGGCTAGCCTGGACCCATGGTCAGTAGGTAAGAGGCTAGCCTGCAGTCCCCTCCAAAAGCCCCTGTCCCAGTTGGGTCTGTGACAGTAAGTATTTATATTCTTCTTTGCAGATAACAGCTTTTTTCAATTTAGTTTTGTCAAAATGGTTACTTTAACAAGAACACCTACAAAATAAATGATAAGGACCAGCGCTTAAAACACATACCATGTACACTGCATCTTGCCGCAGACCACTCACTGGGGGAATTGTATTAACCTAATTCACAGACTCTCCAACCACTAATAACATGCATAAACATTTGTCCATAATTTAAAACCACCAAGTAGGATTGTGTATTGCAACTGTGGCCTGGATTATAGCCACATCTCCAGGATCCCAGCCAAAGCCAGCTCCATTGGCTTTCCAACTAGTGGGCTTGGGCATAGTTTGCAGTTTACAGGATCGGTAAATCTGGGCATGTAGTGGGATTACTTGCTGATATCAAGGATCTCCCTTTCCTCCATTACCTTATAGTACTGGATATACCATTATTCCACATTGACATCTGTTTTTTTTTTTTTTTTTTTTATTAAAGCAATTTACTTTTTTTGTTTTGCAACCAAAATACTTAAGCTCATTGAAGTCTTGTAAATTACAATAACAATGTAGAATCTTTGGGCTGCCAAAGTAAAATACAGGGGTAGACCACATGAAACAAATCCCTCCATGTGTAAAAGTCTTCGAAGTGAAATATATAAATGTATAAACAGTATATCGGAAAGGCAGTGTGCTACTACATTTAAGGTAGTATTATTGGCATACCACAAACAAGATAATTGTGTTAATTACTTCCCATCATTGACTAGTAAAGCCATCAGGTTGCACAATGTATCTGTCTATCATTACCTGTGTTTCTTGCCCATAGGGAGGACTGTGCTATTTTAATTTTTTCTGCTATCAAAACTGTAAAATCTGAACCTACCACAACTAGTCATATCATACACCAAAGTATGGTCTACTCTAGACAACTTCTGCACACAACAAAAGTAAAAAGGGTTTCTGCATACAGCTGCAGATTTCTGTAACAGCTTCCCTTAAAACAAGTGTATGTAGACCGTGAATAACCACCTCCATGCTGAAAAAGGTAGAATTACATACTAATACTTTAGGACTGGAATTTGAGTTGCATATGAGCTATAAACTCTGACAATCGTGTAATAAAAATAGTTGTAATGGGTTTACTTTCACCTGTTTACAGCTACGATACCACAGAACTATGCAGTATAGGAAGAAGCATAGAGCATGGACCCATTGCACACATCGCAGGATCAAAATGGTTGATTCTGTTGAATCCTGCAGACTAATGAATATTGTATCCAAACCTAAAGCGGCTTCCTCCAGTGGTTTAGGCAACATGCTTTTGAGGATATTTTAAGGGCTAAGCGTGTTCTTTTAGCTTAAACTTATGTTGCCAGTATGTCTCACCCACCATACTAATGATAGCTGTGTAATGGAATGAGAATTTAATGACTTGGGAGTCCTGTTGACAAAGCTCTGTTCTGTTTTGTGACCAGTTTACCATGTTCGTATCACTCTGTTTTCGTTTGCTGGCACTTTTTTTTTTTTTTTATCTCCTTAATCCTACTCGTCTTTCTCTTTCCCTTGAAAACATTGATCTAGAAAAGTGCAAACAATTTTTGTACTTTATGTCAATATGCACTACTCTTTGTAAAATAACTTTTTCTAAGAAAATAATAGTAACCTAGTTAGAGAGCTTCAGATGAATTCTAAATATTAGTATTGAAAGATCGGATATAACATAGAGGTTGAATTTTATCTATAAATCTTTATGGCCAGATTCAATGAATGCCTTATATTTGAGAGACACAGAGGTTTGGTATATAGGATTATATTTATTAATGTGATAGTGTGAGGATACTTTTAGCAATCACAATGCAATTAAAAAACCACGGGGCTCATCTTACAGTCTGGTGCAATACACACTATTCATGTTAACTTTAAATCATTATCATATATAGCACCACTTAGAGAATGGTCATTTGTGGATCAGTGAATCTCACACTGAAGAAGTCAGTGGACCGACTGGTCTTCAATATGGCCGTGCAGATTCATGGTGGGTTAATTACTGATGTCTATATGTGAATGTTCAGACGGATTGTTGAATACCCAACCCAAAGTTTGCCCTTTGATATCAGTCTGCTGAGAGTGCCATTGAGGTCTATGGTAACCAAAGGACAATCCTAGCAATTACTTTGGATACCTGAACCCTGAAGCATACTACCTGCTTTTTCAGCATTCAAATGCAAATGTCATCTTTGACATGCTGACAGCAGTAGAATATCTGTTTTTCCAAGTACTGCTTGGATTGGGTCCCTCCTGTCTGCAGTAGATTGTAAATGGTTGAACTAATCTTATTTTTTTTTCCTTGTCGAATAACAATTAGGTCATTGTTGCCTGTAAATACAAAACTATTGGCAGTGTTAAATTTAGCACACCTATTAAAGCTGAGTATGAAGTTGGTTATGCGTATGCGTTATGGTTTATTTTATCACCCCAAATGTAGCAGCCCCTAGCAACCAATCAGAAATTAGCTCCCATTGTTCTGACAGCTTTACGCTAGGAAAAACCACAGTTGGGTTGCTATGGGCTACTGCACATGATTTCCCTTTGTATCTTATTAAATGAGCCCACACAGTAAGGAAGGTTATTTAGGTAGTGTGGATTTAAAGTGCAGCTGCTGGCAATTCTGAAGGCATTTATTATATGTGTCTGGCCTTTGGATTTTAATATGTAAGATGTATCATCACTTGTGAAAAAGATCTAACTGAGAAAATATGTATAGCTGAATCCTTGTTATTTTTACTTAAAAAATGCAACACAGCAATGAATAAATAAAAGCTATTTCTGTACAATCTGTCTCATGAAGTTGTGCTTTCTTTTCCTCTTCCCAGAGAAGGATGCCGCATAGAGAATGTGCTGAAGAATATCAAATGCAGAAAGTATGCTTTCAACATGATACAACTGCTGACATTTCCAAAGTACTACAGACCTCCAGAAGGGACATACGGCAAAATTAACAATTGAGTGCTTTTAAGCATTAACAATGTCACATATTGACCGAGACAAAGCACAGACTGGACAGATCAATATAATAGCGTCAACTGGGAAATTTCTCATGCAGTAGATCAGGTTAAGGACTGCGATGCGCCAAAAGAGCTAAGGAAAATATTTAAAGCACAATTTGCACAACCCACTTTGTAGGGCAAAATTAGGACCGCGAATTGTAATAAACACCAATCAGAAGCACAATGATATGAAAACAGTGGTATGCCAGCAGATAACCTTGTTAATTACCAAAGCCCAAGGGTGTCCGGTTGTGTTTCTGTAATATTTAAGGCAGTGTTATTCGAGTAGAGGTAACATTTTTTTACTCAAAGATGCTCACATGCATTCTAAGCACAGAATGTAATCAGTTCTGGTTCAAGAACTTCAATCACACAAGCGCTCTTATGTCTTTGGAATGGACCAGTTTGTGTTAATTCTTGGGAATATGACCAAATGATACACAAATTGATTGTAAATAATGCCATAATATTTATTTGTAGAAATGATGGTGAGAAGCACCAGCTGTTCTCTAAATTTAAATTCTGGTTTCTTTTTAAGTATACATGCCCATTTCTTCACATACTCTGAACTATATTATTATTCATGTAGCTGAAATCTCACAAATACAATGCCAAAATAAGATATAATTAGCCAAAAGAAAACTTGATGAAGTAACACGATTGTATCCTGTAAAATTGGCCATGTGGTATTATTTTACGTCATACACGATCTATTGTGCAGGGAAGTGAGGTTTTGTTACAGAGCAGAAGAATAGGTTGTGAAGTGTATGTATTTATGTGTATTTTGCTAACAGTAGGTGTTTTTATGATTCCAAAGGTTTGTTTTATTACTTTTTTATACCATTTGAAGTCATTATTATAGTCAGCTGGTTGAAAATGGCTGCTAACTCCAGCTGGTCCTTGGAGTTGGTGCCATCCGTTTTCAAAATCTGGCTTTGGCATTTCATATAGTTTGTTTTTTGTTTTTAGTCACATGCATCTTTTTTCCAATCTTTTTGTAATAGTGTTGGGAATAAATGGCTTCCATTTCATACCCAATTTACAAGTGTTTCATTGGTTTCCATTAAAATGTTCCAAAGTATTATTATCCAGCATTAGAGTGTGTGTCCTTGGTGAAATTCATTTCTGTTTCATATGTAACCATTTTCATTGTACACCATGTATATTTGTTTTATTTAAATAAATATTTTTTTTTTATATATTTTGCCTTTTCCTTGTTATACTCATCCACCATTAAGTCATATATATAGAATTTTAAGTAGTCTCCCTGATTGTGAACTATATACAACAAATATTAGGGAGTGTACACATGCAGCCATTTACATTTAAGAGATATAGTTCTCTGTAAATATATATATATATATATATATATATATATATATATATACAGTTGTGTTCAATATAATAGCAGTTTGTTGAAAGAAGTGAATAAAGCTCAAAATCCTTCTAATAGCTTTTATTTTCATACACACAAATGCATTGGGAACACTACACATTCTATTCCAAATCAAAACATGAAGAAAAATATATCAAATGTGTGTTGTTCCTCTAAAAAAATTGAAGAAAAGTGAATATTAGACTGTTCAAAAAAAATAGCAGTGTTTGTATTCTTCTTACAAACTCAAACATTCACTATATAAACTGAAAAATGTTTGAAGATTTTGCTTTCCTTTGAATCCCTTAATTAATATTTAGTTGTATAAGCACTGTTTCTGAGAACTGCTGTACATCTGTGTTGCATGGAGTCAACCAACTTCTGGCACCTGTGAACAGGTAATCCAGCCCAGGATGATTGGACTACATTCCACAGTTCTCTATTTCTTGGTTTTGCCTCAGAAACTGCATTTTTGATGTCACCCCACAAGTTTTCTATTGGATTAAGATCCGGGGATTGGGGTGGCCACTCCATAACGTCAATCTTGTTGGTCTGGAACCAAGATGTTGCATGTTTACTGGTGTGTTTGGGGTCATTGTCTTGTTGGAACACCCATTTCAAGGGCATTTCCTCTTCAGCATAAGGCAGCATGACCTCTTCAAGTATTCTGATGTATTCATACTGATCCATGATCCCTGGTATGCGATAAATAGGCCCAACACCGTAGTATGAGAAACATCCCCATATCATGGTGCTTGCACAACCATGCTTCACTGTCTTCACAGTGTACTGTGGCTTGAATTCAGTGTTTGGGGGTCGTCTGACAAACTGTCTCCAGCCACTAGACCCAAAAAGAACAATCTTACTTTCATCAGTCCACAAAATGTTGCGCCATTTCTCTTTAGGCCAGTCAATGTGCTCTTTGGCAAATTGTAACCTCTTCAGCACGTCTTTTTTTCAACAGTGGGACTTTGCGGGGGCTTCTTGCAGATAGCTTGGCTTCACATAGGCATCTTCTAATTATAACAGTACTCACAGGTAACTTTAGACCTTCTTTGATCTTCCTGGAGCTGATTGTTGGCTGAGTCCTTGCCATTTTGGCTATTCTTCTATCCATTTGAATGGTAGTTTTTCTCTTTCTTCCACGTCTTTTAGGTTTTGGTTGCCATTTTAAAGCATTTGCGATAATTTTAGCTGAGCAGCCTATCATTTTCTGCACTTTTTTATATGTTTTCCCCTCTCCAATCAACTTTTTAATCAAGGTATGCTATTCTTCTGAAACAATGTCTGGAACGACCCATTTTCCTCAGAATTTCAGAGAGAAATGCACTGTAACCAGCATGTACAACATTTGCTGCCTTCCTTCCTTAAATAAGGGCAATAATTGCCACCTGTTTTTCAAAGAATGAATGACCTCACTAAAAGAAATCCACACTGCTATTATTTTGAACATGCCCCTTTCAATTAGTGATTCAATTACACAGAATCAGCAGCATGCATGTCATGACTGTCAGGTCTGTTGGATTTCTATTACTCTACTACACCTGCTAGTAAATTGTTTGCCATGTAGAAATATCATTTCTACCAAAAACAGTGATTGATCAGGTTAGTGATGTCTGACTGCTATTATTTTGAACACAACTGTGTATATATATATATATATATATATATATATATATTATTATTATTATTATTGAGGATTTATATAGTGCCAACAGTTTAACAGTTTGCACACCACTTGTTAGAGCTTGCAGTTATATATATATATATATATATATATATATATCCGGCCACTTTTATTAGGTATACCTTTTCAATTGCTTGGTAACACAAATTGTAAATCAGCCAATCACATGGCAGCAACTCAATGCATTTCGGAATCTAGACATGGTGAAGTTCGATCCGAGACTAAAAATGGAGAAAAAAGGAGGGGATTTAAGTAAACTTAAACATGGTATGGTTGTTGGTGCCAGGTCGGCTGGTCTGGGTATTTAAAAAAACTGCTGATCTACTAGGATTTTCAGGCACAACCATCTCCAGGGTTTACAGAGAATGGTCCGAAAAAGAGAAAATATCCAGTGAGCAGCAGTTATGTAGACAAAAATGCCTTGATGATGTCAGAGGTCAGAGAAGAATGGGTAGACTGGTGCAAGATGACACAAAGGCAACAATAACTTATGTCAATATGGACCAAAATCTCTAAGGAATGTTTCAAGCACCTTGTAGAATCTATGCCACAAAGAATTAAGGCGGTTCTGAAGGCAAAAGGGGGTCCAACCAAGTACTAGCAAGGTGTACCTAAAAAAGTGGCTGGTGAGTGTCATATATATATACAGTGGGGCAAAAAAGTATTTAGTCAGCCATCAATTGTGCAAGTTCTCCCACTTAAAAAGATGAGAGAGGCCTGTAATTGGCATCATAGGAAGACCTCAACTATGAGAGACAAAATGAGAAAAAAAATCCAGACAATCACATTGGCTGATTTGGAAAGAATTTATTTGCAAATTATGGTGGAAAATAAGTATTTGGTCACCTACAAACAAGCAAGATTTCTGGCTCTCACAGACCTGTACCTTCTTTAAGAGGCTCCTCTGTCCTGCACTCATTACCTGTATCAATGGCACTTGTTTGAACTTCTAATCAGTATAAAAGACACCTGTCCACAACCTCAAACAGTCACACTCCAAACTCCACTATGGTGAAGACCAAAGAGCTGTCGAAGGACACCAGAAACAAAATTGTAGACCTGCACCAGGCTGGGAAGACTGAATCTGCAATAGGCAAGCAGCTTGGTGTGAACAAATCAACTGTGGTAGCAATAATTAGAAAATGGAAGACATACAAGACCACTGATAATTCTCCCTCGATCTGGGGCTCCACGCAAGATCTCACCCCGTGGGGTCAAAATGATCACAAGAACGGTGAGCAAAAATCCCAGGACCACACGGGGGGACCTAGTGAATGACCTGCAGAGAGCTGGGACCAACGTAACAAAGGCTACCATTAGTAACACACTCCGCTGCCAGGGACTCAGATCCTGCAGTGCCAGACGTGTCCCCCTGCTTAAGCCAGTACATGTCCGGGGCCATCTGAAGTTTGCTAGAGAGCATTTGGATGATCCAGAAGAGGATTGGGAGAATGTCATATGGTCAGATGAAACCAAAATAGAACTGTTTGGTAGAAACACAACTCATCGTGTTTGGAGGAGAGAGAATGCTGAGTTGCATCCAAAGAACACCATACCTACTGTGAAGCATGGGGGTGGCAACATCAAGCTTTGGGGCTGTTTCTCCGCAAAGGGACCAGGACGACTGATCCATGTACAGTACAGAATGAATGGGGCCATGTATCGTGAGATTCTGACTGCAAACCTCCTTCCATCAGCAAGGGCATTGAAGATGAAACGTGGCTGGGTCTTCCAACATGACAATGATCCCAAACATACCGCCCGGACAACGAAGGAGTGGCTTCGTAAGAAGCATTTCAAGGTCCTGGAGTGGCCTAGCCAGTCTCCAGATCTCAACCCCATAGAAAACCTTTGGAGGGAGTTGAAAGTCCGTGTTGCCCAGCAACAGCCCCAAAAC